CTGGAAGAGCATATCTGTTTATCACCTTAAAGCAGCCTTTCCAAACTGAATGCCAGGACCCTGCTAACGAAGAGCCAGAACCAAATCTCTCTCCAACTAATTACAAGCATTCATTGAAATATGTGGAAATGAACTGAATGTGTGACCTGAAATCACTATTTCAAGGCCCTTCACAAAGTTAGACTGAGTTTTCAAGCTGCTGTTCAGGAAAAAAAGCAACTATACCTTCAGGGGCCCAGCATGACTGAGCTCTGTGTTTATCAGTCCTTTAATGTATGCCAACTGGTCTTTTTGGTTCAAAATCATTTCACGCAATGCTAAGCAATGCCCTCATTGTTGCTTTTGCTTACTTGCAGTAAACCAGTGGGATGCCAGGCTGCCACCATCAGAACATCTGCTTTATTGGAAAAGTATTTCAGCAGGCCTTGCCTTGTAATAAATTATGTGACCCTGGAAGGCAGACAGCAGTCCTCCTGCAGGCAAATAGCTCACCACAGGTCACCTGAAGCTTTGGGAGCAGCAGCATCATTTCTGTCACTCTGGTCTATCTAGGGTCTTATTGCTTAGAGTAATGAATAAGGGAAAAAAACCCATCACCAAAGCTCTCAAGACAGATCCCACTTGATTGACTGGGAGTTTTCTACCACTGAAGAACATGAGAAGGGAGGAAAGGAGAGGAAATCAGAGGAGAAGGGAATCCAGCTGTGAAGCTTTTTACTCTGCCACTGAAAACAGAGCTACTCTTAAAAATGCCGCTTAGTTTGCCTCAGTCAGAATGATCTGGGGCAGCAAAATGTGGCATATAAACTGTTTCAGTTATGAAACAGGTTACAAAGTGCTTATACAAACAGCTTCACTAGCACACAGATACTTGTCCATTGGCCTAATTTACAGCCTTTTCCAGAGCAGTCCCTCACCCTCTGAATTTTTTTAAGGAGACAGTTACTAATTTTCTTTTGTCTTTTTGACTCTGCATTTCTCCTGAGACAAAAAACTCCACTGTTTCTGTAATCTTTTTGTTCCATTCACAATGCCACATCAATGAAGTAAAACAGTTAAAAAAAGAGTGCAAAAATTTCCATTTCACTAACAATGTAAACAGCATCAAAAAGATTTTGGATCCTGTTTATCTACCTGGGAAGTCAGTAGTCAGTGGATGCTCTGTTGCTACAGTTAGAAAAAGGTCTTGCTCCCGTTGTTATTGCTATTGCCTTGTGAAGTGAGATGACAGTGGTGTTCTTTTGAATGGCAGCGTTTTCAGCAATTTAACCTCCTGCTAAAGCGGCAAATTTGCATGAAAATTATCTGGAAAGCACAATCATGTACACACACAGTTTATATATATATATGTGCCAGCATTTTCAGTACAGGTGTGACATACAGCATATCAAAGGCCATAGGGATGAAGAGCAAATTAGCTGCCAAGATTGTTCTCTAGAAAAGGAACCATTTCCTAGAAAAGCCTACCATTACTCTTGGACCTCTTATATGATGAACAGTGCAGATGATTTCTACCTTCATTCTTATTCACCTTTAATGAAAGCACCACTGAGGACCAAATGA